GGCCATCGAAAAATACAAAAATTTGTTCAGCATAGTTCATTTAGGATTACTGTCTTGAAAAATTAGTTTTTATGAGAAATTTCTTTTTTGAAGTTGAAGAACTAGCTTCTTGGATATAAGGAATGTTAAACCAAATTGCTGGTAATTGGTTCAACCATGTTGCTCCTTTAATTATAACTAATTAATAGTATTAAATTGTATCTAACGTACCGGTACCGCATGTAAACTTTAAACACGTTTTACTCAAAACCGTGTTTTGGCAAATGGTTGCCACGAAAGCTCAATCACGCTATGGTCTCTACCAGAATTAAACCAAAATATTTTTCTTCTACAATTTTGCAACACGAAAAGAAATCGAACGATCGATACTTAATTTTTAAATCGCAGCCATTTAAAAAAATCTTAATATTTCAACCCAAATCTGGTACCTGCAATAGCCATGCCCGAATCATTAAGAACCCTTTTAGTTTGTTTATTTCAGACGAACAAAACGACCAGAACCATGGCAACCAATCGAACAATTTTTTTCGAGGTAGTCGACTCTTATAGGCTGTACCGCCCTCTGTATTTCATATTTCCAACCAAACAAAATTTGTATTTACAGTTTAAGATATAATAAATATCCAAAAAAAAAAAGGTTAAAAATAATCTCGTGTCACAGTGGAATACTCCCGTAACAACCGAGTGAGAGCCGAAACTGGAGCCAATTTCTTTCTTTCTCCATTAATTTCGCGGCGGAACGCGAATACCAGGCGGATCGGCGGGCAACCGGTGAAATTTATGGAGACGATGATTCAACGTGCCCCCCTCTCGCCGCGCGACAATGATAATAACGATGGGAATGATTTACTCGGATTATCCGTGGTGCTCCGGGACGGCAGCGTTACAGGACGCGTTCCGTTGCCGCACGTGTTTCAGAATTAATGCCTCAAGACGCGGCCAAAACTATGTCTATCTTCGACACGTCCGCCCGACTTGCGCGGGGCTGAAATTATCCGTTCGCCTATCGACCTACCGATCCGACGTTGGGTTATTATTGAAATCTTCGAGCGATTCCGGTTCCCTGTGACAGTGCGCAACGACTGGACCTTAATTAAATAAATATTTACACGGACGGCGAACGTTCGTTGAAACGTGCGTGGCCGTTTCACGTGGTTATTTTCGCTCGAGTAATGCCAATGCAAATGATTCCTGTCTTTCGAACAGCGACAAGATAACCGTGGAATGATTTTCAGAGAATTTCTTTGGAAACTTTGAATGTTACAGTTGCATTTCAATCGATCGACGTTGCAGAATAAATTCATCTGGTGTACAGAAAATTGATTTTGTTACGATTGGATTCTAACGGGAACTCGCAGTAAGTAGAGACAGTCGGAAGGAATCAGACGTGTCGAAATCAAGATATATTCAAATAGCACGCGATATTTAAGAATGTTTCAAATATTATTTTGTGGAGAATAGAGACTTGAATTTTGTAAAAATCGTTTTTTTATGATGTCGATTTTTTCAATAAAACACCAATATAAATGCCAATATAAACAACTGTACCTACGTTTCAATTAGTTTTTCGTAAACTGAAATGATGCATCGAGTTTCTGAAATTCTAGGTCAAAATGAACCCAAATCCCACCGTCTAAAGGTTAAAACTGTCTACATCCGATCTATCCTCAACGGAGCATCGGCATCAAGAACAAAAGGATCGATTATTAATTTTCCCTCAAAAACCAGAGGATATTCACTGAAAATACGCCACGCCAGGAAGGATTCCGTGTGAATGTACCAGCCAGTATAGATCACCCGCGGAAACGCAACGCGATCATTGTTAAACGGAAGTCGCGGAATCGCCGAACGGTGTACGCGGAGCATTCATCAGGCCGAATTTACGTTCCGCTCGTTTTGCCGTTCAAAGCGAGTCCGTTGCCAGATCTAAAACCGTCTAACCGACAATGACGTAGAATCTGAGTGTAAATCGCGTCTCCCGTTGTCCCTCATTTCGCATTAACGCCCCTCCCCCCCCTTCACGCCATCCTGCCGGCTAATCTTTCTTATTCCGTGTTGCGGCACGTCGCCCTCGTCGACTTAATTCCGTGTCCGAGCGAGGCCTTTGTCTTTAAATTCCGACAATCAACTGATAGATCGGAATAATCCATGGTGAACCGTTCCGTCTTGTTTCTCTACAGGGTGTCACAAAAATGTTGGAGACCTGGTAATGGGAGACTCGTGAGGTGATTTGAAACAAGTTTTTCCTTAACGAAAATGTTATCCGAGGCTTTGTTAACGAGATATTAACGAAAAACCCTGACCAATCAGAGCGCGAGTCTGCCAGCCGAGTTCCCGCGGTAACGTTGGCCACCAATCGCAGCGCATAGCCAACGTTACCGCGGGAACTCGGCCAGCAGACTACGCGCTCTGATTGGTCGGGGTTTTTCATTAATATCTCGTTAACAAAGCCTCAGACATCATTTTTGCTAAGGAGAAAGTTGTTTCAAATCACCTCACGAGTCTCCCATTTCCGGATCCTCCAATATTTTTGTTACACCCTGTATATCTGTTTAGTACGAATCGAAAGCTTTCGAGTGTTCCTCGCGTTAAACTCAGCCCGAGGGGCTGAAGGGGAAAACCGTGAAACAGGATTAGTTCGATGAGATCGCCTCAAATATATTACGCCACGATAGACAGATATATTATATCTTTTCTACATTTTAGTTTTCTCTGTTGCGTATCGAGTGACGTTTGTCTTCTTTATTAGATTGCTACGAAACAAATGGCCCGTTTAAACGCTGTAAGATTGTGTTGTTCCCGCTGTGACTGCAGGTATAAAGTATCGTTTGAATTGTTTTTAGAGGGTGATACAGAGTGAACTTTGTAGCTGTTTCGATGAGTAATTCACTATTTTCTGTTTTCGTAAATTTACTATCTACTCGAAAGTATGTTTAGGTGTTATTTTTAATTAAGGAAGTAGCCCGTGGATGTACTTAATTGTTTGAAGGTATGTATCTGGTTTGTACCAATACCATTTCATTTAAATATCAAGTTCTAAGTCTCGATAAGAATGTAGCCGGCGGGATTTCAATTTTATAGAAAAAAATGTCTACTTTCTTAAGGTTCCAAACATTTGTATGTGAATAATTGAAATTACAAAATTTTTGGACTAGATGTAATTAATACTTGATTGAATTTAACTAATTAATCCTTTATAATTGTATTCTACCGCCACTTGGAGTCGACGTTGGATGTGACATTGACTTTATTAACTTTAGTTATGCGTGATCTAGGTTGAGGCTTGTCGATCTATAAAAGTCAACGTTTATCTTCCAAACTTCAGTGACAATCACTGTATTATTCGATTGATCATATTTCAAATTCGAATAAAATTTGAATTAACAATATTCAGTGAGACTTTACTATGACAATAAATATCAAGTACTCGAATCTATTTACAGAATACAATTTTAAGTTGAATTTTTTTTTAAATTACAAAAGCGTCTCACGTCTCTATACAAAAATTGAAGTCGTACCAATCAACAACAGCTCTCGCTTCTTCGAGTCATTTCCCGCGAGTTTCAAGTATTTCGAAGAATCAAGTGATATACAATCATGTTTTTTCAGAACCTTCTACACAAATAAATGAAAGCTTCTGTCATCCTTCCCACGAAAGTCGAACAAAAAATCGCTTCATCGATAACAGTGTCCGGTTTACTTCAACCCCAATCAACACGTGCGTACTATTGCGGCCATTTGCGCGACTAATGTCGTTCATTTTTACCCATTATCAAGTTACAACAAAAACTCTACCCGTCCTATAGCTTCGTGTTTTCACACGACACAGTCGTGACATCGAAAAAGAGTCTATCAAACATTCCATTGGCAACCGTTCGGAAAAACTAAAGAAAGAAAAAAACGAAAAGACGAATGAACAAAACGCTCACTCGTAGCTGATCGCAGCTAACTGGCTTCTTGACGCGCCCACGTCCGACAATATTTTCGGTCTGAATTCATTATGTAACGAAGAAAGAAATCCATCGAGGTTTGTCGATTGCTCACAGAATTCTACGAACACTCCGATTATCTCACAGGCACACAAATCATTTTTGAAACTGACACTCGTTAAATCAAATATCCATTTTACTTTTGAAATTCACTATATCGGAAAAATCATTTCAGCGCTTTATCCGTAGGGCACAGAGTACTCCGTATTTCTAATATTGATAATTACTGATGTACAGTCAATTACAATACTTTCCTATTACCCCAAGTCATCAATTATCACTACCGATCATTTAACAATGCATTTTCTTAAAATAAATATTATTTCAACACTATAAAACCCATTAATTCTACCAAATACCGAATTCCTACGCCAAAGGTATCGAACAATTCTAAAAACGATCGGTGATCAAGCGTGAACCATGGAAATTTACGAAAATCATTCAAACGTACGATTCCTGTACAAAAACGAGAAGATAATCCACGAAGAAAGGACAGAATATTGTTTACGCGTGCATTTATTCATTGTTCGTGGTACCGAGCACAACACCCGGTCCGGTCCAGACCGAATAAAGCTACGCGCCAAATAAAGTTGGTAAATCCCACCGAAATCGACGATCGAAATAAGTCCGTTTATCCTTGAGGAACATCAGAATGAACCGAGAATCTCGCGGCAGCCGCCGAACAAATTTCTGCGTTTATTTCTGGCGAGCCGCGAATCGCGTACCGGAACCTATCCGATAAATGTTCGAAATCTCTGGTCGGCGGACATTCAACGGTACAGCCTGAACCAGCCGTCACCAGTCTCGTGCCATGAAAAAGCAAGCAATGGAACACGAAATACCAGGACAACTACTTAGTTCTAAACCGAAGAGTTTCGTATTTAAGATTTAACACGGTCTCCCGGAGAGGCGGACGAGCGCGAGCGCAATAAACGCCCACGTCGGGGCGCCAGGCGACGAGCCCTACAGTTACGGTAATCGCACGTGTCACTTATGCATGTCGTCACTTACTTCTTGGATTTTATAGCTGGTCCGTATGGTTTTGCGTTTCGTGGTGGTGACCTCGTACGTTTCCTCCACGGTGGGCGCCTCGTCGTCATCATTGTTGTTGTTATTGTTGCTGCCGTTGTTGTGCATAACGTCGTCGTTGCCCGTTCTGTCGCTGTCGAGGACGTCCGTGGCATCCATCCTCGTGTTCTCCGTGTCAGCCTCCAGGGTGAACGATCGAAACACCGAACGATACCGCGTTCGCGGAGTTACACGAGTATATATACGGTCTCAGAGATAACCTTTCCAAGCGAGTACCGAGCAGGTACACACGCGAGTTCACCGTTTCCCTCCTATGCACCCCAACCGACTGGGATTCGTGGACGAAAATCGTGGGGCGGGGAGGGGGGGGGGAACCGGGGTACGATCGCAAACTGACCGCCCGCGGAAAAACTTAAACCGAGCGACCGACGAGAAACTATTCCGGGATTGACGAAGTTCTGCACGAAGCGGAGAGGCTGGCCGTACTAAAGCACTGCGGTTCGAGAAACCCGCCGCGAACGTGTGTGTTCCCGCGCCGCCTTTCAACGGCGAAAATAGATTCTCAAGTTTTCCCAATGGAAACTCCACGCGTCGTTCCCCCCCTGGCCCCGACGAGTGTCGATTTCGTCTCGTTCACAGGCAGCGATAAATCTGCCCCCAACCCGTCGCCGATCGAACCTAACCCCCTATAGTAACTGTTCGTTCAACGTTTCCGCTTGAAATCGGGCTTCCCGCCTGCCGGTTCGAACGCGTCTGGAAGTAAGGGCGCTACGAAGCCACACAACTGACACGGACGGAGGACCTATCGATCACTGGAGAGGTGAATACCACATGGGACCGTCAGTGTCATGGCTTCGGTCATATTTTATTACTTAACCACCTCCTTAAGCCGCTTGTAAAATGCTTCGAACGACGGTAGTTCAGGTAAGCAAAGAGTGTTACGGTCCACTGAAACGACAAGTTTTCAGACCATTGTGGCTTTGTGATTGTGAAAGGATCTCTGTGACTCATATTTAAATATAAACGTACGTTTTCAAGTATATTTACATTCACAATAAACAATCCATTTTGTGATAAAATTAAATTGCTTACGCTTCGGGAAATTGAAAATGGAGAACGAGGAATGTACAGTCTGTTCGAATTTTAGGTATGCACTGCCATCTGATGGCGCGCGGATCAACTGAAATCGCAGAGACGCAGTGTTTTCAATGTTCTCGATCATCTTATATTTCTATAATCACGATAGCGGTAATTTCGTTTTTCTTCGATACAACCATTCGTTCGAGATATTTATCACTATAAATGTATTCTTAAAAATCACAGCGAAGTTAATAAGGCATTTTCCAAACGCAAACACGTACGTCCATGGTGCGATACATTTTTGCTGCACCTCCTTAGTAGACTTAACGTTTTAAATAAGCGTAACCTGCCAACAATTTTATTGTAACACGAAGTTTTAAATAAACAAGGCCAGTCAACAATTTCATAACACTGGAATCACTGATTAATCCTTTATAAATGCATCGGACAACTTCCGTTGCCGGGTAAATCCATTCTTTATGAGTTCTCGTAATTTTTCAACTGTGTCAAATCTCCGGGTCTGAATACCCCGACTTCCGTGATGATGCCCTTGATAAGACTAGCCGGTGTTACGTCGAACGCTGGATTCCAGCATAGAATTCCAGGTGCCGAGATTCGTTGATCATTCATGTGAGTCATTTCCCTTTCTGGCCTCTCCTCAATAATAATGTGGTCGCCGCTAGGAATGCTGAAGTCTATAGAGGTCCGTGGGGCCGCTACGTAAAAAGGTACGTTGTGGTACTTAGCAACTATGGCGATCTGAAAATATCACGATGAAAACATTAGTAGAGCCGCGATAAATACTTCACAAATGTCAATGCATAGGATCATTAACCATTTTACCTGGTAATAAAAAGGTACGTTGTGGTACTTAGCAACTATGGCGATCTGAAAATATCACGATGAAAACATTTTTTAGTTAAGTAGAGCCGCGATAAATACTTCACAAATGTCAATGCATAGGATCATTAACCATTTTACCTGGTAAGTTCCTATTTTATTGGCCGTGTCCCCATTGGCCGCTACCCTGTCTGCACCGACAACGACGGCGGATATATTTCTAGATTTCATCAACGCTGCAACCATATCGTCGCAGATCAGAGTGGCAGGAATTTTTTCATACACCAGTTCATACGCAGTTAACCTTGCTCCCTGATTGTATGGCCTTGTTTCGGAACAGTATGCATGTTCTATAAGCGTAATTGGTACTATATAACTTTATCAAAACTTCCATAATAATAATTAAGAACTAAGGACATGCAAACGTTACCAAGACTATTTTGCTTATGAAGGGATCTAATAACACCTAAAGCTGTGCCATAACCTGCTGTTGCAAGGCTGCCAGTGTTACAATGTGTCAAAACCCTGACAGAATTATCCCCAGATGCATGCTTCAAAATTTCTTGGGCTCCAAAATCACCAATAGCCTTATTGTCTGCAATATCTTTCTCCAACATAGCTTCTATAGCCTTGAAAAACCTGCAAGTATTATTATCGACTGAATATCGCAAATAAATTGCCTTGTAAGCTACTAGGTAGTCTTATACCTCTCCTTCATTTCCGCAACATTAACACTCTCATCCTTACTAAGTTTATTGGCCAACTGAATTAATTCATCTGCTGCAATCTTCATATTAACGGCAGTAGGACGAGCAGACACCAAGTAATTTAATTTACCTTCAACATCCTGTCGAAGACTCTTTTTGTCCATATGATTCTCATTCTTCAGTTCCGTGGCCAAGCTCAAACATCCCACAATGGCTATAGCCGGTGCACCTCGAACCTGGAAGAAACTCATTGAATTAAGCCATAAGAAATACAAGTGACCCCAAAAATTCTACTGAATTCTTTGGTAGTTTACAAGCAATCTAAATCAATTAACTGTTCCAATTAAGATTCCGTTCGCGCGAATCACTTTAAATCGCCACAATTTCCTTCATTGCCATTTAACTGGTCTACAGTGTCACTTCGTACCGATCGTCTGTAGTGTCAGAGAATCAGTTCTTTAAATGTCATGAACAAAGTCACGAGAGACTATTTATTGGAAAAACCTTTAATATATTAATCTCGAATATAATGTATTAAAGATCGAATTGAGGCAAATGCACGTTATTGCGAACGGTATTCATCTTAGTAAACGTACTTGCATCTTATTGATGACTTTCCAGCCATCCTCCACGCCTTTGACGGGGACGTATCGGGTGATCGCCGGCAACAGTATCTGATCGAGGATTTCCAGCTTGCTGTTTTCCCATTTGATCGCCTGCAGCGTCATTTTCGGTCCGTCAGAGGCGGCCGCGTGTCGTATATGGCAGTGACGCGGGTGAGATATAGGCAGATTCGAGAGACCCGGCTAATAGAACCGCGGCTTGGTAGTTTCTGAATGAAACGGGAACCCGTTCATTTGAAGCTCACGTGCACTTCGGACGGCCGTGACTCGAAACCTATCGTAACGTCGTATCGCACAGATGTCACGTGACAGACGTAGCTGCGTGTATGTATGTATGAATTAGCCCCCGCCAGCGCCATCTCTTCAGCCAACGATGAACTATAGCGTTTCGCCAGCCGGAAGTCCTCTTGCGCGAATTGTTCGAATGTTTCGCGACGTGACGAGACAAATAATCTCCTATCAATTTGGAATTTTCGTGGAATTCGGGGAATGTGTGATAATGAGACACGAGGGCTTAGAATAATCGAGCTATTCTCTTTGGGTACTCCTTTAAATATTCTCGGATATTATAATGGAATTCGAGACTTGCTGCTTATTCAGCACGTAACTATTACTTGTAAAAAAACCTCAAAACGGACTGAAATAAGAACTTCAAATCTCATTCTTCCTTCATTTTCCCAACTTAATTTGTACCTCGGTGTTAAATTGACACCATGGTAAAAAGTTAATATAATTTAAGAGATAAATAGTTGAATTTGGAAATTCTTTAAAATAAAAGTAACGGAGTCTAGGCTGAATTTGCCCATACACGAGACAGAATAACATTATTTTATAAGAGAATAATGTGTCAAATTGACACAAAGGACACATAGGAGAGTAAATAGGATTTTATACATTTTCATATTATTTTCAATTTTATCGACTGTATTAATACAGGTACGAAAATTTCGGATAGGAAGCAAAGTAAGAATGCATATTTGCAATACAAAACTTCTCTGTTTTTTAAAAGAATGTCTCTATTATTGAAAACCAATGACGACAACCGATTATGTCTGTTTAAAGATTTATAACTGACTTACTTATACGATGAATTAAATAATATATAATACAATGTTTTGTATGTAAGTTCGATATTACAAAATAAAAAATACTTAAAACTACACATATTAAAAACACCTTACAAAAAGTGCGGCTGATCCGTTTATTATCGAGAGAACCGACGGTTCGGAACAGTTTAGAGTTTCCTTTTTTAGCCACTTAAGTATCCGCGCCATTCTTAAATAATCTTTCGATAAAAATATGCATCACCGATATAACCTACTTTTCGTTGACAAGAAAATATGAAATAAACACCGGTGCCATGAATTTATGAATGATAATGGGGGGGATGATACAGAGTGCGGCTAATAGTGATCGAAAGTTGCGAAAGTATTGTCTGTACCTGGCTGCACGGGATATAATGCCGCGAAATTTAAAGCAAACACGCCACGACGCAAAGGAATCGGACGGATTCGCAATACGATTCGTTGCTTTGATCCCTCACATATGATTCGCGTACGTTCGTCGTTCGGTTCACTCGTGACCGAATAACGGCCGGCGTATTCCGAGTGCAAACTACCCCATTTACTTGCCGCGTTTGTAAAAAAAACCTTTGCATTTGAAAATAGTGTGCACTTCACAGATGGCCTCACCTGTTCACGTACGCTCGAACACATTCCACAGTTGAAACTGTAATTCCGCCCGGCGTGGATTTCGATCGTTTTCACGACCCTTTCCGTCTTTCATGAACACCGGCGGCCGGATGGCGGACTGTGACCCGAATAATCATCAAACTTATGAACTGACCTGATATACGGGACGTCTAGACGATACAGGCTGATTGAATTTTGAAAAAAATTGGTTTCTTTTACAATACAGAGTGTCCCAGCTGAAATAGGGCCACCTAAATATTCCTTTTTTTCTTTAATGATATGAGAAACGGTTAAAGCACTATTTGAATGGTTCCGAAAGAGAAATACTGTGGAAGAAACAAATTTTTTCAAGGCAATTGTTCCCCTGCTTTTTTCTAGGTCAACAGGATTTTTTGCAGGAAAGCATTTTTTTGTTTATTGTACGTATTTTGTAGCAGACGAAACAATACATTCGAGTATGCATGAGTTATGACTTTCATACTTTAGTTTTATCTTCCACTTATCGTGTCTGTACTTCGGTGTGCAATAAAGTCACCATCCTCGTTAATATAATTAACATAGACCAATGATATCAACGTGAGAGGAAGATGTATGATTTCAATGAATCATTTCTATGGGGGTTTATAACAGACACTTTGAGTCGTCCTGTAGAAAAGTGAACAGCATGCCACAGGCGGGAAAAGAAATTAATTATTTATCGAATCAGATGCCACGAGATGTCAGAACTTTGCCGCCGTTACGATAAGGTCGTCCTTATAATGGAAAAGTAACTCTCGAAGTTGCGGAAACGTTCGCCCTCCGGAGCTGCCTGCTCCGTGCTTATGAATGTTACAGGGCGATGCAGATTATTAAATTCATGGGCCGATTACTATTCGCGATCGCGCTTCAGTTCCGTCCCACTGGCAGCCAGGTAACTTGTCATCGAGTCTCCTTAAAGCAAGGCAAATAAGTTTTACGCGGCGCGCACCGAGACGGAGTGCAGGTGACGCGTGAAATACCTTCTCGACATCCGTATCGTAAAGTTTCTGTTCAGCGAGCAAATGTTTGTTAGAATTTAGTAGCACGTACACCGGAGAATGCCGTTCGATGGGAAAATTACATTATCTGCGAATTAAATCTGGTTTCGTGATCGGTATATTCTGACCCGATTTGAAATGTTAATGTAAAACTTCTGCATCATTTATGTATTTATCGATTAAATTTCGTGATTACTTGATACACCTTGGTTTGCATTATTAATTACATAAAATTGTATTAATACCCTTTTAACGGAAAAATTATTGTATAATAATTTTCATCGAATAGAGTCTCATCAATGAAACATATGCATGATTCGTTAATATTTCTAGAAATGGTTTCTTAAATATAGAACTTCGAAAGCATATTTCGTAGTCAATTTCTTGGATGAAAAATAATTTCTATGTTGATGTCAAGTTAAAAATGATCAGGGTAAAATGCACGCAAGAAAGTTCGTCGAATTTCGGTTCGATCCTTTGTCTATTTCAATTTTGTTCGTCGTCTTTGATTTATTCCTTTTTCTACCTTTTTATGACTTAAATAGTTTGTGTTTTTAGCAAATACTACGAAACTACATGTTTTACGTATTTGCTTTAATTTAGACATATGTAATTTTCAATAAGTGCTTCTCATATGATAAATTTTAAAACAAGGAATACACAAGCCAACGTCACAGTCTGGACAATAGTATCTCGTGTCTTTTTTAACTCTTTTGCCATCTATACGCCTAGAACAACACACAACGCATCGTCTTTGTGGATTTCTTCTTGTGTCGGTCGATGGTATAAGTTCTACAAAATGTCTTTCCGTCAAACGCAACGCACTCGGTGTTGCCGATGGTCTGCCCCGTTTCTTCGTTCCTGGTAACTCTATAGAGTGATATTTCGAAATTGACGTATCAATTAATTGCAATTTAAATTGTAGAGGTTTGTTTCATTATTCTAATCATATTGGGTTATCCGTATAACGTACAGACTAAATCCTTTGGCTCTTCTTTACCTGTTCATACGACGTACGGACTAAAAGGGTTAATTTACATCTAAAATAATATTGTATGTTTCATGTACATGAACTGACAAATGTATGTATTAGTGTGAATCTACTTGACCCTTTTACGAATTACATAATAATATCTAGAAAACGCCACTCATCGAATAAAAATTCATAATTTAATTGATACTTTATTCAGACGAAAAGTTAAAAAAAAATGTGTGTGTCGGTTAATAAAATAACGACAATGTTGTAGTTTTTTTCCTTAAGTATCTTATCATGAAGCGAAACCTGTTCGTCCGTTCGCTTAAACATTCGCCGTACGTGAACTAAATTCGTGAACTAAACTGTTCGCGCACGGGTTTCATGCTCTTTGGACCATCGTTAAATCGCTGATAAGATAACAACAAACATAGTTGTAACTCTTGGCACATTAGCTTTCAAATTGTAGAAAGGAAGAGCAGATATCAAACTAATTTCAGTCAACTCGGTATTTTTGTCTAAAAAGTGGCATAATATGAATTTATAATCTAAATAAGATTAGCATTACCGCGAAAACAATCCAAATTCAACATCAAACGACAATCCCTTTAAATACCAGAACAATCAATCGAAATTTTTATACTTCTCAATTCTACCTATTTTTCTTTCTTCGTATTAGAAATTTCTCAATTTCCACAATCTAACGTAATCCACAATCGACGCAAAATAAAACAAACGAAGGCATCGAGTATCACCAAACGATTACAAGTTAACGAATATAAAATAACAAAATAAAAATTCTGTCGACTCATTGCCGTTCACGAATCAACTTTCCACACCCGAAAAGGTCAACATTCCGATACGAACAGCAATAGCGTCGCGCGGCCAGGTGGGTATAGAAACGAATAAACGAATTCGGTGCAGGGGAAGAATGAACGAGGGATCTACACAAATTCATATTTACTTTAATTAAATATATCTATGTACATTATAGGTACACCATAATACATTCACCATACGACGACTGTACAGCTTAGCAGCACTTTCAATACTGTTCACAAAAATACATCGCATATAAACGAGCAATATCGGTTTATACGCAAGGTCGGCCGAGGACTTGCGACCGGATGGAGCGTCTCTCTATTCTCTGTTCATCCGGGGCCCCCGAGTGGCCCACGGTTGCTTGTATGTACAAAAAGATTTCTTGCTCGAGTCGCAGGTCCGGCCAAACGAGGAAGGAACGTGCCACGTGAAATGTACGATCTTTGCCCTGGGATCGAAGCTGCGTTACGATGATCATATCGGATCGAAAATTCGGTTCGAGAATTTCGCTGCTCGCTAAACAGTCCCGAGGAACCGACAGAGTGTTACGATTATTATACATAAACAGATCTTCTGTGAAACCATCAATCGAGAATCCTTGTACGGGGCTCTGTCTATCGAAAAGATATTCATTACATAATCAT